GTTTCCCCTTCCTCAAAGTTAAAGGATCGTAGATTCCAAGCTGGAAGACTCTAGAGCTTTCCTATTGGAGAAATGAGGAGCTGTCACCCAAGCTCTTGAAGCAACGATCTGTTGTAGGCCAGATGTGAACAAAGCTCCATAGCACCCTAGATTTAAAGCTCAAAGGGACCTTAGAGGCATGCAGCCCACCTGTCCTGTTTTACAGAAGAAGAAAGAGTATTTAATTCAACAAATATTTGTTAAGCACTCCAATCCCTAGCATCTTGCCTGCCACAAACTAGGTAATTTTTAAATGCATGTTGAAGAATGAATGAATGAGTGAACAGCTATGTAACGTGAGGCAAGTCAAATCACCTCCAGGGCTTCAGTTTCACCACCTGTAAAATGAAGACTTTGGTGGGGGCAGTAGATAGAGCCACCAGGCCTGGCTGGAGTCAGGAAGATCTGAATTCAAATCCAGCTTCAGACACTTACTAGCTAGGTGACCCTGGGCAAGTCACTTACTCTCTGTTTGCCTCAATTTCCTCTTCTGTAAAATGGGAATAACAATAGCATCTACTTCCCAGGGTTGTTGTGAGGATCAAATGAGGTAAGAATTGTAAAACACTTAGCACAGTGTCTGACACATAGTAGGTGCTATATAAATATTGATTATTATTATTATCGCCAAGTCTATGATCTTATAATGATGCTATAATTTGCATCTTCTCACCCCCAGTACAGATACAGTCCTCTGCCCAGAGTAAGAGTTTAATGGGTATATATGTGAATGGATGGATAGATGGACGTATGGATGGAAGGATGATGAATAAGGATGGTCTGAGGGCCTCCCCCGCTGTCCCCAGGGTGGATTTAAGAAAACAAAAACAGAAGGAGAGGATTCCAGAAACAGGAGACTGCCTGGTTCCCATGGTTCCCACTGCATCAGTGACTCCATCAGCCAGGGTCAAGGGTTGGGTTACAGGACTTGGAAGCCAGCACGGAAAAAAGTAAAGTTTGCATGAACAATCTGATGGGAATAAACGCAGCCTTCTGGATGCCAAAGGAAATCAGAGGAGAGGGTTTTATTAACCTGCAAGAGTTTATAGGAACCAGCGGTGGTTGATATTAGCAATTCTTTATTTTATTTTATTTTTTTTGATCCAAAGATCTGTGCTTACATCTCTGTACAGAATTCCCAGTGTGGAGACTCCTTCTACCGATGCGGATGCAATCTATGTAAATCTAAAGCTGGCAGGGACCTTGGGGGCCATCTGGTCCAACCCTCTCATTTTACAGAGGAGAAAACTGGCCCAGGGAGGCGGAAGGGTTTTGCCCAAGGTCACCCATGTTTGGGAAGCAGCAGCACCAAGATTTCAAGGTAGTCCTCTGACTCCAAGGCCACCATCTACCGTACCATGTGGTTTATGATTTTCAAGAGTTGTCTGGTCCCACAGCCAGTAGGTACCATAGGCAGGATTTGAACTTTTATCTCCTGCTCTGTCTGCAGGGCCTCTCTAACAATGATTAAATATTATGATTAACAATGAATGAGGTGGATAAATGTTTCAGAGGGGGCAGGTTTCAGCTTACTGGGGGAGGGGGGAATTTCCTAACGGTGAGAGCTATTCCAAAGGGAAAGGGGCCATGTAATCCTAAACCCAACACTCTTTCTACTATAAACCTGTGCTCAAGGGGGGTTTCTTGGGAAAGTTCCCATTGGGCCAGATTTCCCTGAAGGTCCTGTCCAACTCTGGAATTCTGGAATTATGCATCTTATTCTTAATGCACTAGGGTACCTTGCTTTTATATATCCTGGGCCCCTCTGGCAGTCTGGGGAAGCCTATGGACCCCTTCCCAGAACCATGTTTTTACATCATAAAATAAAATACACAGGATTACAAAGGATATCAATTCCATTGGAATTCTGTTAATTAGAAACTGTTAATTAATTAGAAATTTCATTTATTTAGCTGTCTTGGGGAAGGGGGAGGAGAGGGAGAAAAAATTTGGAACTCAAAATCTTATAAAAATGAATGTTGAAAACTTAAAAAGAATTAAATTAAAAATTAAAAAAAGAAAGAAAAAAGTCAGTTATTTAGAAACAAATTCATAGGAACCAGTTTAAGAAACTCTGCTTTAAAGAAATTCCATGCTGGAACCTTTTCCAAGTGAATAATAACCCCTACCTCATGGGTCAATCTGAATTTTTCATTCATTACTATTCCTGAAAGGAAGCACACCCTTATTGACACTTTTATGTGTCAATATCAGCGACATTTCTCCCAGTAGTCTCTGGGAAGTGTGAACAATAAAGACAGTCCTAACCTAACCGTGACCGTCAGAAAGCTAGAGCTGAAAAAGGGCATAGTCCAAGAGGCTTGTTTTACAGATGAGGAAACTGAGGCCCAGGGAGGGAAAAAATAACTTAGTAATAATAGTTGTCTATAATAAAGTTTGCAAATCGATTGAATATTTCAGTTCATCCTCATAATATCCCTGAGAGGTAGGTGCTATTATTATCCCCATTTTACAGATGAGGAAACTGAGGCCTGGATAAATTCAATTAGCTTATTATATTTAATTTGCTCAAAATTGAACGTTTGCAAAGCACTCTGTATATTATATCACTTGTTCCTCACATTAACCCCGTAGAGGTAGGTGGTGTTACTAATCCTATTTTACAGATAGGAAACTGGAGGCTCTTTTGAAGGGAAATGACTTGCTCAGGATGTGAACCCAAGACATAGGATCATAGGTTTAGAGCTGGGAGGGACCTCAGAGGTCATCTACTCTTGGTACAGATGAGGAAACTGAGAGAGAGAAAGATAAAATGAGTTGGCGTTGTGTCTCAGGTGGGATTTGATTCAGGTCTTCCAGAACGCAAGGTGAACGTTTTGTCTGCTAAATCAGTCTGCCTGCCTATGTCACTGAGGGGGGAGGGGTGGGGGAAGGAGAAGGTCAACAGGACTGCAGCCAAGCTGGGGTTGGAACTCTGCGGTTTAGACTCCAAATCTACCCCTTCATTCCCCCCCCCCCACCACGCCCGTTGAGCATGAGAAATACAGAGGATCCCTTTTCTGCTGTGGGTCAGACGGGCTGACTTTCTAAGATCCTTTCAACTCTGAGATCTTGGGATTCTGCAATTATTATTATTAACTAGCATTCCGTTCCTCTTCTAGCCTTGTGTGCCAGCCCCTGGGGGTCCTGGGAAGTAGTTACCGCTTCGCCTCCGGCCCTCCAGGAGATGGGATGAAGGTGGGGATGGGGCGGCTGCCCTCCTCCTGGGAAGGGAGAGCTAATGGTACCTCCAGAATATGCCGCCCTAGGGGCTGTGAGCTAGACCAGCTGTGCCCCTGGGCATGGCCCCAGGCATTCTCCAAATTCTGGGCTTGTTAAGCCCCAGAGTCATTTCTTCCTCTCCTAATCAGTGGAGTGAATGGCACTTATTACTTATTACATTAGGAAATGACCTGGGAGTCCCCCAGGGCCTGACTTTCAGGCCGCGTACCTCACTTAGCATAACACTTTTAATGTGTGTTTCAAATTAATTCACATGCATGTATATTCATTATTTTCCCGAAGTCAGTGTTTGTTTTTTTTTTTAATTAAATCTTCACTTTACTGCGAGGGAAACTGAGGCACGGGCGGCCACACCGCTGAGCCAAGGTTATATAGTACAAGGCCAGGTTACATATTTGAACCCGGAGTTCTGAGAATACCCTTCCATTTCTCCAGTCTGAGCCCGGGTACGTGCTCAGTAGAGATGCCTCCTGATGTGAAAGGCAGGAACGTCTATCTTTTTAGGGAAAGGGGGGCGGGTTTAGCTGGGTTTTCCACCCCTCTCCCCACACAACACCCTATGGATGAGGAAGGGGGAGGGGGGAGGAAAATGGGGGGAGGGAGCTGTCTTGTGACTTATTTGCAGAAAAAATGGTCTTGGGACTTGGGGACAGGGTGGCAGCATTCGCCTGACGACCCAGAGGGTACGAGGAGCAGGAGCTGAGGCAGTCAGCCGTTCCCTCCAACGCCTTATTTAAGGGCTAGGAAATTCTGTTCCGTTCTGCGTTTAGGAAATGGCGAGAAAAAGAAAACGAAATGGTCCCTGCCCTCAAGAAGCTTGCATTCTACTTGTGGAGGGTAGGGGGTGGGGAGGAATGGAGATGAGCACAGAGTTCAGAAAAATAGGAGCGATGGAGGTAAAGGACAGCACCAGAAACCCTTGCAACTGGAGAAGGGGGGAGGGAACGGTTAAAAACTTCCAACTGCACTAAGTCTTTTGGGACAGCCTGTATCAGTGTATATAACTTAGATATAAAGTGAATAAATACAATCCAGCACTTTGCACACCCTATAGAAAGATCAGGTTTTTTTTGGGGGGGGAGAACGAATCTCTGATTTAAAGTCTTGGAAAATTGGAAAAAGGCAGTGAGTTAATGGACTTACTATAAAATGAAGTGGAGGGGGGCAGGGAGACATGATGGTTTTTGAGGTCCCTTCCGGGTCTAGAATTATGATGCTAGTGACCTTAGACAAGTCACCACCTGCTTGAGCCTCATTTTCCTCTTCTCCCTCTCTCCATACATATACACATATATATGTAGTGTGTGTGTGTTCCTGTGTAGTAGTAACTAAATTAAGAGTGGGTTGGGACCCGAGCCAACCAGAGCCTGGGTTGAATTTCCAGTCTCAGCTTGAACCTCTTCCTCTTTCTCCAGCCTGAAAGCTTTGATGGGGCAATAGAAGGTCAGCTCCTCGAGGGCATCTCCTGTTCTGTTGTTTTGGGGGGCGGGGATGTTGCTTTGGGAGGGTTTATTTTTTGTATCCCCAGTGCCTGGCACTGTGGTGCTTAGTAAATGCTGATTGAATGGTGCCTTGGGGGGTTCTTGGGGTAGTGGGTAAGGGTCTTGGATGAGGGATGTTGGAGATGGGGGATGGGTTTTTCCTGCTCGCCCCTGAGCAGTTCAAGGAGAGAACTCCCTTCATTACTAATGACCTCTCACTCTTTTTCCCCCCCTCAGTCTCTTCAGACCAAATCGAACAGCTTCATCGAAGATTCAAGCAGCTGAGTGGGAACCAGCCGACCATCCGGTAGGATGCTTAGACAGTGCCTTCCACAGAGCCATTAAGAAGTGCCTGGTTAGATTGGGGCATGGGGACAGGGAAGGCCTCCCTCTCTTTCTGAATGACCCAATAATAGAGCATGAGGTCTTCACCATTTTTGTTTACTGCCATCCGTCAAAGTCAAATGGATGCCTTCTAAGAATCATGCACAAAAGAAAGTACATAGGATTACAGAGGGAACCAATTATATTGAAAGAGTTATCAAAGTATTTTTTTCAAAAAGAAGTTCACAACTCTAGGTTAAGAAGCCCAGGTCAACTTAAGGACCCCAAGGCAACTTAAAAGCCAACTTAAAAGGGGAGGGAAGGAGCCTATAGGTATTGTAAGTATATAGTGAAGGGAGAAGGAGGGAGGAGGTCACTCTCCTGCTGTCTTTGGACCAAAGGAGCTAGGATCAGAGATTTTTGAGCTGGAGGGGGCTTTAGGGGTCATCCATTCCAACCCCCTTGTTTTGCAGGTAAGGAAATTGAAACCCAAAAGGGATCATAGATTTGAAACCCAGAGGTCATCCAGCCCAACCCCCTGATTTTATAGGGGAAAGAGCTCAAGTGATTTGCCCAAGACCACATGGGTGGTCGGGCATAGGCAGGATTTGAAACCAGACCCTCTGACTCCCCGATTCAGCATCTGCTCCCCTGTCTCACGCTGCCTCCTTGGGTCTGTAAGATACAGGCTCTGCCGGGCTACTGAGTCAGTGCTCTGGGAAAATGAAGTGATTGCCTTCCAAGGAATCTCCTTAGAAACAAGACAGGGAGCTTTTTCATCTGGAGAAGAAAGGACCAGGGAGCTTGTTGGAAGTTACAGGAAGACAGATTTCAACTCGGTAGAGGGAGAAACATCCCAGGTGTTATAGCTTTTCAATAAAGAAATGTGCCCTTGAGAGAGAGCGAGCTCCTGTCACTGAAGAACTCAAATTGAACCCAACAGTGTTTCTTAAGCATCTACCACGTGCAAGGCATTGGAATACAAAGACAAAAGCAAAAACAATCCCAGCCCTCAAGAAATTGACATTCTGCTGGGGCGGGAGGGGTAAGGGAGGGGAAGCACAGCCTGTATCGCTGATTAATATACATTGATCGGCTCTATTACCTCCAGGATCAAATAAAAAATCCCTGGTTTTTTAAAGCCACTGGGCTTGGAATCAGGAAGACTCGTCTTCCTGAGTTCAAATCCAGCCTCAGGCATTTACTAGCTGTGTGACCCTGGGCAAGTCACTTCCCCCTGTTTGCCTCAGTTTCCTCATCTGTAAAATGAGCTGGAGAAGGAAATGGCAAACCGCTCCAGTTTCTCTGCCGAGAAAACCCCAAATGCAGCATGAAGAGTGGGACATGATGGAATAGCAACAGTAGCTTGTCACCTTCCTACCTTTCCCATCTTCTTACCCCTTATTTCCCTCTACGTACTCTGAGATCCAGTGACACTGGTCTCCTGGATGTTCGTCACAAACAACACTTCATTTCCGGACTCCAGGCATTTGTACTAGCTGTCCCTAGGTGCCTGAAGTTCTCTCCCCTTTTTATCTCTGCCTCCTTGACTCCCCTGGTTTCCTTCAAGTCTCACTTAGAATTCAACAAGAAACCTTTCCTAGTTCTCCTTAATCTTAAAGGGTTCTCTCTGAGAAAGGGATTCTCCTTTCTCTGCCCCAAATTTCTCCTGTCTGTCTTGTTTGTACATAGTTGTTTGCACGTTGTCTCTCCTATTAGACTGTGAGCTCCTTGAGGGCAGGGACTGTCTTTTACTTTTCTTTGTACTCCAGTGCCTGGTACATAGTAGGCATTTAATAAATGCTAGTTGACTGATACAGATAGGATTCTACAGCATCAATCAAGGAAGAAGAAGGGAGTGTTAGGGATTCCTGGGTTCAAGAAAGGCTTCATGTAGTAGGAAGTGAGCCATGAACTGAGCCTTGAAGGAAGCAAGGATTCCAAGAGATGGAAGGGAGAAGGGGGTGACATATCAGCAGATGCAGGGATGAGTGGACCAGTTTGTGATGTAGAGAGTGCAGCAAAGGGAGCTTGGATCTACAGCCTGGGGGGACAGGTTTTGATAAAAAGAAAGACAGTCCCTACCCTGAAGGAGCTTACAATCTAATGGGGGGAGGGGGAAGACAACACACAAAAGGAGGTATGAAATGGGGGGCAGGGAACAGGACACCAGGGATACCCATGATGGGGGCATCTTCTTCCATGGAGTCAAAATTAGGCAGGACAGCAGATGCATAGTGGAATGAGGTAAGAGTCCAGTTTCTGCCCGCTATAAAGGAAGGCACTGGGAGGAGTTTGGTACTCAGCTCTCCAGCTCTCCAGTCAGAGGAGAGAAGAGGTTGAGGGAGGTGGTATCAACTGAGACTGGAGTTAGCAGTATGGAGGTGAGATTAGACAAGATGAGTTTAACCTGGGAGGGGCATCTTTTCCCTGGAATTGAAATCAGGGAGAGCAGCAGATACAAAGGGGAATGAAAACCCCAGAGAGCAGACCCCAGATACAATGGAAAAAGTGTCTATGAGGACAATTTTGGAGTGATATCAGGGGAAACTTCCTGATAATAAATGGAATGGGTGACCTTGGGAGGCAGAAGTAGTTCTCTCTCCCTGGAGACTTTTGAGGGTGATCACTTTTGGTGAACACTACATCAGTAGTGTTCTGGTTCAGTTACTAGTTAGATTCCATGCCTTTAGACCCCCGCCCCCTCTGAGGTGATGAGATTCCAGGAAAGACTTGAATCTCTTGCCTAACTCTAGAATGGTGGCACAGATTTTGCCTTTATATACTTGGAGTTCTATTACCATCCTAATATATCCCCACCCCACCCCCACCTTCAGTGGCTCAGCCGAGCCTAAGGGAATCCTAGCTCCTGAGCCTCCTTACCCACCAGAAGACAAAGGAAAGGGAGCTGAGGGCTCCTGTTTCCCTGCCCCTTTCTCCTCCCCACCAGCAAGTTCTGACACCAAGAATTTGACCATCCTTCTGCTGTCTGCTCTCCCAGGGGGCCCAGCCCTGCAGGACCTGGGTGCCTGGCTCATTATATAAACAACCTGACAGGAAGAGCTCCTGGTGGCTAGCTAGGGAGCCCATAGCACCCTGCTTTGCATAATCTGTCACTCTCCATGTTTTTCAAGGCTGTAGAGAACAATCATCCCCCAAGCTGTCACCCCAGGGATGACAGGACAGAGCTATAGGCAACAGAAGAAAGAGGAGACAGAATCCTTCTGGGACTTAACCCCCTCCTTCTCTCCTTCTCTTCCTTCGTGGAATGCCTGCAGAACAGAAAGTATTATCAGGAGGCATGAGCTTTATTTCTATACCCATAGGTCTTCCCTGTCCTTCATCCTACCCCACCCACCCCCATCTGCAAGCATTTATTTTTAAGCACCTATAGGGGGGCATCTTTCTATCTTGAGTACTTAGCCCAGTTCCTGGTACATAGTAAATGCTTAATAAATCCATGTTGACTGACCTTTGATGTACTGTGATGGGTCATGGGGTTAAGGAGACCAAAGTTAGGCAGCATCTGCCCTCAAGGAATTATCTCTACTCAGGGAAAGGACCAGTACTTAAATATACAGAATTTTTACAAAATAAATTCCCAGGAATGCTAATAAGAGCTAGCAATGCTATAACAATTTAAGGTTTGCTAAGCACTTTACTAATATTATCTCATTTGATCCTCGAAGCAACTCTAGGAGGGAGGGGCTGTTACTATCCCCATTTTACAGATGAAGAAACAGGCAGACAGATAAAGTGACTTGCTTGGGGTCAGCTGTTAAGTGTCTGAGTCCTGATTTGAACTCAGGTCTCACTGACACCAGGTCCAGCACTCTGTCACCTTGATGCCCAGAGAATGAATTGAGAGAAGTGCCTTGATTATAGGGACATTTCAATTGAGTCTTTGTACACATGCCAGGCCTTGAACATAGTAGGTGCTTAATAAATGCTTGTTGAATTGAATTAAACCAAGTATCCTCCAGTAATCAGGTGCTCTCCCCACAAGAAAACAAGCCCAGCCCTCTATAAAATAGTAGATGAAGGTGTGGAATGGAAGTGTGTTGGGGGGGAAGGGTAGAAGAGGGGAAGGGGAAGGAGAGAAGGTGGATACAAAGTAAATTACTTGGCAACTGCCCTCAAGGAGCTTACAATCTAATTTGAAAGAGCATTGACACAAGAAACAAACGTTTTTTAGCATTAAACAGTTTTTGCTGTATACAAGTTGTTGCAAAATGACTTTTGGTTCATGGTTTCCCCGCTGTGAGTGCTGACTGACCATAGACGTCCAGTGTAATTCTTGAGCATGCTTTCTGTGGCTTTCCCACTGAGGGCCCATGCCAATGAGTCAGTAAGAGTTTATTAAGTGCCTACTATGTGCCAGGCGCTATACTTAGAAACACAAGAGACAGTCCTTGCTCCCAGGGAGGTCACAGTCTGATGGGCAAGACCACATGATGTCAACTCTGTCCTTACAGCCGTGGACTGGATGCCTGCCTTCCTCTGGTCCTCGTGGTCTCACGAGGGATGCCGGCAGAGCTGACAGCTGGTCCCTGGGCTAGACCCCTTCATCCTTAGTGGGTAACTGTTCTGTTTCCTCTGCCTGTCAAATGACCAAGGGATACAGAAACCCTTATCAATGAATCAGAGCCTCAGAGATATTAGCAAAAAGAAAATTCCATTTATTGGCTTTCTCGAGAAAGGGCTCCCCCCAGAGCACCAAAAAAAATGGTGCCGACCGAGGAGAGCAGAGGTGTGTTCAGATCAACAAGTTATATAGGTCCTAGCTCAATCCCCTTTCCCAGCCCCCTCCTCAGGGCTCATTAATGCAAGCTCTGAGGGTACAATCTATTAGCGGCAATCTACCCCAGCAACGAAGAGCAAGGACACTTTTTACAACTTGCCTGGAGACAGGAGGTTTTCTTTTTCTTTTTAGAGTAAATAGTTTTAGACAGGGAGGAGGAGGTCTGATAAAGTTGAAAAGCA